TACGTTTCCTAGGCTACCGAAAACAAAGAAGAGTACCGAAAATGAATCCAACCGTCTCGTCAACCCTCAGCACCCTTTGCCACCCACATACACCCCCTTATGAGGGTTGGAATGGCAATTTTCATACAAAGGCAAGTGGGGTAACTTTTGAGACGAGTCCCCTCGTCTCTCATAGTTCAGGGTACTTTTTCAACCGTAAGTCCCTTCGCCTTTCCGAAATCGGAGTACTTTTTCAACTTTCCAAGGGGTGTTCGTATGCAAACCTACCAGTTCGTGATAAATAAGAGAGTTCACTCGTTGAACAATCGTGAGGGGCGAGGGAACTTACTTCAGCAATAAACTAAACAAATGGAAGCTTCAATGACACACACCTGATGCGCACTGACATCAGAATCCTGACTCCCATTTGAGATAATGATTTGACAGACAAGACAGGAATAGGGTACAAAAAAATAAAATTCAAAATCTCGAATCTACATTCAATTTCATAGACTGGATGGTAGACTAACGTACAATATTACAAATATTGCCTGGTGCCTAGTATACCGCTTCATATCATAATGCTACACTGATGTGTTTAGTTGTTATAATGTATATAAAGTTTTCAGTTCGTAGGCAATATACTGCTCAAGTATTAATCATACCAGAGGCCCATGGGAATTGAAACCTTTATAATTAGATTTTGTGCCCATTCTCTTCGGAGTATTAACTTGAAGGAATTATTAATACATATTGCTTTGTTCCCCAGAGCTTAGCTTGGACTAGATTTGAAGTCAGTGAGATTTGAGAGATGATTTGATTAATATATTTTGAATTATTACCTTAAGAAGTTAAAATTAGAGGTACCAGTCGCGGGTTAATCGATGACGGAAGTATTAAACTGTAGCAATACATATCATCTGTTTTAAAAAATATTTATATAACTTTAAACTTCATAATGTACCTATAACTTCTGCTAATATGTGTAATATATGACGCCAATCAGTACAGTAATATTACGGGATATTATTTTCTTGAATGAAACTAGGTTATACAGGGTGAGTCAGAAAGAATGGGTCAACAATAAGCTGAAGATACTAGACACCAAAACATTATGTTTGAGCTCATTATGCCTTATACGAATGTCGCTGGTTTAAGAAATATTGAGTGTTCAAGGTTTAAATTTTATTTTGAAATTTCTCAATAATTGATAAAGTTTTGGTAGCATGACTCTAAAAATTGGTAATATTAAGTTTTTTGGTGTAAGAATTACGAATTTGATGCTTATTTTGACGTTGCTCCTAGAGGGCGCTAGTTTCGTCATATTATTTAGGTAAATCAAAACATATTTTTTTTATCTGTTGAGCTATGCTTAAGAAGAGTTAAAAATCTAAAAGAACGTTCAATTGTACATAAAAAATGTACTCTTGTTTAGGTCGCCTAACTTTATCGGTTTCTAAGTTATTTGCATTTAAAAGTTTCAATGTATGTATTTTGTGGTGATTTTTTATTCTCAATTATTGATAATAGTAATAATAACAAACTTTAAACCAAATGCTAGAAGTGTCCACCTTCTACCTTAATACATTTTACTATACACTCTCTTAAATGTCTGAATATTAAACAAAATGTCCCTATTATTTTTAAATGCATTCGCTGCTACTTGTATTTTCTGCCACAACTCCTCAACAAAATTAATTTCTTCATGATGCGCCACATCCTTCAAGTTTGACCATACTGAGAAGTCCAGAGGGTTCAAGTCTAAACTTTTCGGTGGCCTACAAAATTCACTCCGACGGCCAATCCACCGATGAGGAAAATGTTCATTTAAATACTGGCGTACTGGCAAGGCAAAATGTGGTGGCGCACCGTCGTGCATAAACCACATTCCCTCTCTTAAAGCGAGTGGTACATCATCTAGAAGCTCGTTTAAATTATATTGAAGAAAGTTTAAATAATGAGGTCCAGTTAGATTGGGTGATAATTTAAAAGGTCCTATGAAAAGAACAGATATTAAGCCACACCAAATGTTCACCTTAAACTCATGCTGAAAATGTCTTTCTTTTACAGCATGCGAATTTTCGGAATCCATTGTTCTTCCAATTGAAAACTCCCCGTCTAGTAAATGTCGCCTTATCGGTAAATAGAATTTTATTGAAAAAATCTGGGTTTTCCATTTGCATATTTTGTACAAACTTAGCAAATTGTAGGCGGGCTGGTAAATCTTGAGGCAATAACTGCTGAACCGGAGTATAATGAAATGGATGGAGAATTGATTTTTTAAAAATTCTACAAATGGACGATTGGCTTACCCCCGTTGCCGCACTTAACCGACGAGTACTCACACTGGAATTTTCCGAAACACGAATTAAAATTTCCTCTTCTTCAACGACTGTGATAGATTTTGGAATACCATGGTCACTTTTTGCTCGAAAAGATCCAGATACGCCTAAGCAGCTGTAAAGATTTTTGAATAGTTTATTTATTGCAATCCATTTGGGTACATGTGTTCATATCTTCAGGCCGCCGCACTAGCTAATAATTTTGCACGAATAATAAATCACACGTAAAATACGCTATTTATTGACATGAAAATTTGACACAAACTTACTTAGAAAAGAAATAGCAATATCAACGCCTGAAAATCACCACAAAATACATTGAAACGTTTAAATGAAAATAACTCAGAAACCGATAAAGTTAGATGACCTAAACAAGAGTACATTTTTTATGTAGAATTGAACGTTCTTTTAGATTTTTAACATTTTTTAAGCATAGATCAGCAGATAAAAAAAATGTGTTTTGATTTACCTAAATAATACGGTGAAACAAGCGCCCTCTAGGAGCAATGTTAAAATAAGCTCCGTAATTCTCATACCAAAAAACCCAACACTACCAAATTTCAGTCATGCTATCAAAACTTTCTCAGTTATCGAGAAATTTCAGAATAAAATTTGAACCTTGAACACCAAGTATTTCGTAAACCAGCGACGTTCGTATAAAGCATGATAAGCTCAAACATAATATTTTGGTGTCTAGTATCTCCAGCTTAGTGTTGACCCATTCTTTCTGACTCACCCTGTATATGAACTGTTATAGCTAAACGCTACAGATATTTTGTAGTTTGTCTGCAAATAGCATTTGAGTGGTTTCAAGTTTATTACCTCAGGCAAATATTAACCTGTCGTATATTCTCCACGAATTTCGACTTTGGTATACAGGGTTCTCAAAAAATTTGGAACCACCCCTCTATCTCAGAAAATAATGCTCAGACAAAAAAATTATTAGAACAAATGTTGCAGGGTTTTGAGTGAGCAATCCAACGGTGACCATGACCTTGAAGGTCATTTAGAGGTCATGTTGAAAATTTTAAATAGAACCGTATACTTTTGATCACGGAAAATGGGGGTGGTAACGGGGAAATGGCTAGTTAAAAATTTTTTATGGTCATATTCTGTTTTCAGCTACCCCAAAAACGGAGGGGTAGGGTGGTCTACCCTCTGGGTCTCGATAATTTTTTTTTGTGTGCCTGTGTAATTGGTGGTGTAACTTGAGTCCACGCACGGGTCCGCCTTAGTAGAATTTTGTTTATTCTATCGATAAATATACCGTAAATTCACATGTATGAACCTTTTGATAATAATCTATTTCGTTACTAGATATTATCAAATGTTTCATATATAATTTTATTGGTGTTTAATACATTTCAGTTCAGTTTTCTATTACTATTGTACACTTTTATCTCAGTTTAGTTCATTCTTGCAGTAGGAGGGATTTAAATGACTTACTTTATTAGGTAGGTACCATTTTTCAGAATCCTTCAGATTTGTCTGTAGTGAATTACATTGAATCTTGCTGTCAGTTACCACCAAACTAATTACGTTTTCTATTCTATGTAGTAATATCAGGATCACATTTGTCCGGTTGCGATTATTTGTGTCAGTGAATTAATCGCAAATGGCAGGCAATTGTTTCCTATTCCGCTCGCACCGGACTCGGTTCTCGTAGGACAAAGCGGCATATAAATGCGAAAATAAAACCGAGGCCAATATACAGACATCTGGGCACCTTGACAGTGACCTAAATCAATCCCTTATCGGAGTATGGATGGGAACGTTTTATTTTTTCCGCTTTATGCATTTGTCAAAGTAAGCGATGGTAAAAATTTATTGCACAGAAACCCATAAATGAATCGCCATTCCTCTCCTTCCGCATCCCCGACAGATATTAACAGTCTTTAGTGTCGCCATTACTCATTTTACAGCCGCCTCTGATCCGTTTAAGAAAGCGGAATGGGAGATTACTAACGGTTGGATTACAGCCAGCAAGGTGGACAAAATTCGGCTGATTTAGATTTTTTCCCCCACCGGATAAGAAAATGAGGATTCTTAATGCGTGAGTCATTACCAAATTGACGGCTAGACGGAGTGTCACATATTAAAAATTTAAATTTTAGGCAATTATCAGTAATCTGTCATAAGCGTATTAAGGAAATGATTTTATAAATTGGCTGCTCCAGTCCCTATTATTGTTCTTAAAAGTTTGAAATTGAAATATCGAGAAAAAAATGTTTTATAATAGTTATGGTAAGTTTTAAAATACCCCTTCCAGTTTCTCAGAAGTTTCTGATAAAGGACAAGTGACAACGTCTACGATTCAGTGATAGGTGTGTTTGGAAATAAGAGAAAATATATTCTTTATTTAATTTTCAGAAAGGAAAATCATAAGTAACCGACGTACATTTGGTTGGAGTACACCATGTGGAAAGGTTTACTGGTAACTCAGATATACATCAGAGACAGTTTATAGGATACTATCTAGAAATCAAAACTGTTCATCAAAGTAAAGATGAAATATAGAAATTTGTGAATGAAAAGCCTAATAATACATATTTAATAATGAAGGAAATTTGAATGCAGTAAATCTTTTGGATGGAGTAACGACGGATATATTTTCTTTATAGTGTTTTGGACATTACCAGTGTAAGCAGAGTATGAATTGCTGAACTTCTTTCTGCTCAGGAAAGTGTGGGGACCTATATCGGGGTACTGCTACGTTAGGAAACAACTATACGACCTAAGACAGTACGGTTTGCTGAGGATGAAGAATTTGCACGTAGTAGAATGACGATCCTGGGAAAACCCTTTCTGAAATCCAAGGAGTTGAGAGAAGTGTCGGCAAGGAAGCTTTTGGACTTTGTAAAAAGGTCAAAACTACTTGCTGAATAGAATTGAACAGTGGGAATCTGGAATCTAGAATTTTAATAGGGTAGCTTAATAACTACAGCACTTAGACCCCATTGGGCCCCTTGTACTTCCACCCATTAGGAGATCAATCCACCTGAGTCGCTAACCAACCTATTACAGAGAAAAAGGTGACGACGTTGCTCAGGGGGATCTCTCTAATATAGGCCACAGAAGGCCAACGTTCTCCCAACACGAATTCTCTTATTGACGCAGACGACATAGCACATGTGGTACTGTCTAATCTTCCTGTTCACAACCCCTACAAAGAGCTGTTTCACACTTCCTGATGTTATGTAGGTGCTTCCTCAGCCAGTAGTGTCCAGTTTGAATACCTGTCACTAGACCTATATTTGACCTAGACATGACCAGGTATTTTTTGGCTGTATCTTTGCTGACAGCTATTTGTATTATCCCACCGTTTCATAAACTCTCTGAGGGTGTTTTCCAATAAGTGCTGACAGCGGAAGCATACTGGAGGAACCGGGTTAAAAATATTAAGACCCGATGCACTCTTGTCTAACTTGTCAGCTTCTTTATTGCCATTGCACCGCTCGTGTCCCTTAACTCAGCATACAGATATGCTGTTGGAAAATAAGGCCACGACCAGTGCCTGGTGACATTCCCATACTGACCTAGACATTATCTTATGATTACGTAAGATCAGTAATGCTTGTCTACTATCTGTGTAAATTCTGATGGTTTTACCCGCAGTGTGCCTACGGGCAATTTCTTTACCGGCTGTGGTTATACCTGCTTAATTCCATTTGTACCACGGTAGCATGCACATCCATTGCCCACTGATATCGAATATGCAAGGATCTAGAATAAATTTTACATCCTGCACCTTCCTTCCCTTTTGATCCGTCTGTGAAGACGTTGATTATATCTTCGCGGGCGGTCTCTTTCTGTCTTCTAAGGAGTACAGTGAAGGGTCTGTCGAACGCAAACCGAGGAGAAATATTGTCAGTGTCTGCCTGCAGAAGGAGCATCTTCCTGACGACACCATTCCATAGTCGACTCCTAACTCCTCCACATCCTACATCCGGTTTGAAACCAACGTTCTTGAGGCGAAGCATGGTTGTCAAGGCCACTTCTCTTAGATAGATATCAAGAGGTGGCAAACATAGAATTACCTCTATTGCTATGGTGGGTGTTGTTCGCATAGCTTCAGATATGCTCAAACAGGCAAGCCGTAGGCTAACATTGGTCTCACAATGGCAGTGTATATCCACATAACCACTTTTGGTTTCATTCCCCAGGTTTTGCCAACGGTTCTGCGGCACTGCTCATAGGATATGCACGCCTTTTTTAATCTTCTTTCAAAATGGAGATTCCATGATAGTTTTGCATCGATACCCCTAGGTATTTCACATCAGATGCAAAGCTTAGCGTAGTATTTAGGAGAGTTGGTGTCTTTATTGGCCTCAGTTTTCTCTTACTCGTGAAGAGAACCATTTCTCTCTTCCTGAGGTTGACTGACAGAACATGGTCCTCACACCTCTTTTCAATAGTTCATAGGGCTGTTTGCATTCTTTGGCAAAGAGTCCCTTCGAATTTTCCACTGATAAGCATAGTGAGGTCATTTGCATAAGCGATGGTATAGATGCCGATTTCCGATTTGAGGTGGCATAGGAGACTGTCTAGAACTAGGTTCTATAGCAGTGGTGATAAAACACCTCCCTGCGGGCAGTCCCTTGCAACAACTTCTCTCGCGGAGGCATCCCCCTCACTGATTTGTATAGCTCTTTTAGTGAACATATTCGATATCCATCTACAGATGGTAGGAGAAACTCCTCTCTCCACAAGAGCTGAGTTAATTTTTGAGAAGGTTGTTTTGTCATACGCCCCTTCTATATCAATGAATACCCTCAGGGTGGACTCTTTATTGTCCAAGGGATTTCTCGATCCTGCTCAGGGTAGTGTCGGTAGATCGCTCTGGGGTGTATGCATGTTGGTTAGGATGTGGCTGTCTATCCAGTAACACTCTATCTCTTATATATCGCTCACACAGCTTTTCCATTGTTTTCAACAGAAACGAGGTCAGGCTGATGGGTCGAAACGCCTTTGGGGAGGTGTCTATTTTGGGAATGAACACAACCCTCACTTCCCTCCAAATCTTTGGAATTGAACCGTGGGACACGCAATAGGCCTGATAATATACCGGTGCTATGGGACTTAAATAGAACAAAACCACAGATATCAGAAGCGGTGCAGAAGAAAAGAGTTTCATAAAATGCGTTGGTGATGTCAAAGATATTGGATATATTGATTCTGAAAATTCCAACATAAAAAAAATCAATAAACTTCCATCTATTTCAGTAATTATGAAACGAGACTAAAAATAAGGTAGTTATAGAAAGTGCGCCACCTAGGGCATCAGCGCCGACACATGATAGTCCATAATGGAAAGTGTTGTGTTCAGCAGATAGGGAAAACACCAATAGAAATTGCTAAATATCTTGGGTTGCCCAATCCACATGAGTACACAGAACATAGTTTTAGACGTCATCTACAACGATGCCTGCAGCTGCAGTTCATCTATTTAAAACAAAATTGAGATAATAAATCAAATTCTAAACAAAGCCAATGCCGCTCCTGGTATACTCCACTACATTAGATAGTTCTGAGTTGTCTAGACAATTGTGTTAATTAAAAATGAAATAAACACATTTTAATAAAAAGTAATAATGGAAATGATGTTCTTCAGACAGTCCTTTTAACTGGTGTACAATAAAAGCGTACAATAAAAATTTTTATTACACAGTCTATTGTAAAAGCCAAATTTTTATACTAGAAATTATATAAAAACGATCGTAGATATTAAATGTGTACTGTGCTAACGTTCGTAATGAAGTTTTAGTTATGAAGAAAGTGCTACAAATGTTACAACTACTGTTATATGCCTCGAAGATTTTACGACTGGTAGAAATATTTAAGTAAATTCAACTGGTAATCCAGTGTAATAAAGAACACAGTAGGTGGAAGTTATATCCTTTTTTTAAGGTAATTCCTTCTTTTTAGGTAAAGATTCCATTTCTATCCTAATGTTGGCCAATGTGTCATTATCGATGTCGCCTTCACTTACCCTGCATTTAAACACAGTTATGTATGTTCTATTTCCTATCACCATTGAAACTTTGTATCTCTGTTTTTGTTTTCAAGTTTGTTTTTTATATATGAAAATATTATTCTGGAGTAACACCGTCTTCAGTGTGTAGCGGCCCAAGCGGTGCGGACCTTTTAAGCGGTTCTGGGCTCCTAAGACAAAAGAGTGTGTAACACAAAGAAAATAAATAGCGCGCATTATCAAATGATTAAGTAAATTAATTAAAAAAGTTTTTATCGTGGTCCCTTCGGCGACTAAATTGGGCCAACGAAAAGGCAGCCTCGCCGCGGGAGCTCCCGGTAACAATGACAACGCCAAAGATAGACATAAATTACGGTTTAATTAAAATTTCTTATTTATACTTCACGTGCAATTACTCTTATTAAATAAGAACTTAATTATGCCATTTTGCTGGCGGTACCGAGAGAGAAGTTTCCGCTTTTATATTCCGGAGTTAATTTGGATTTGGATACTCGGGACCACAGGAAATGATTGTTGGAGAAATTTCTCTCAGGAACGGGAAATCATAATCCCGATTGGTCCAATTTTTTCTCAACGACGGCTTGAGGTGGTCCGAGGAACTTTTTGGAACTCTTTCAGTTTACTTTTTTAAGGGGATTTAAATTTGCAATTTCACTTTAGGCAAAGTGTTTACAAGGTCTTGTTTTACTTCATATTCATCTCATAAGGAAATGTAATTTATTTCACAGATTGGTTCAATTTTATTTTTATAGAATTTATTCTAATATTATCCTTTAAGGAAAGAAGTAAAACCAAGACACCTTCGTATGTAAACACGAATTTCTCGAAAACTGCCCGATTAATCGAAATCAATAAGAGTACCTTTTTTACTCTTTATTAAGGTAGTAAGCTAATTCAATCAAATCCTATCAAATGATGGCAAATATTCATTAAATAGATAAATAATTATTTAAAAAATTATATGTTTAAATAATTAATAGAAAAACACATACCTGATATGTTTACATTCTTAATAATGCAGTCATTCAGAGAAACATCTTATACTCTTGTTTTCACCTTTAACAAAGTTTTAGTATCTTTGTTATAATGGTTGAAATACCAAATGCCTTATAGCCCATCACCTTAAATCTGTTTAAGCTGGTGTTATAGGTTGATCCAAGAAAATGACATTTATCCAGAATAAAAATGTTCAACTTGCATAACATTACTAATTTTTGGGACACGGTCACTATTATCATCTCTCTGAAAATGGTTTTTTTTTAATTACTTTTCGAATGTTTTTAGCACTCTAAATGTTCACTGTTCGGTAGATTCATCTTTAGATGGTTTTCAAATAACCAATAACGAAGTTTTTTCATTAAAGTCTATTTTATAGATTTGTCTACATCACTACTAATTCAGTAAAGTTGATCTCGACTTATAGAGGCCGAAAAAAAAATCCAAACAGGATGATTTTTTCAGGGTTGCTTGGACACTGCCTTCTATCCAACCACTCGAAATATTGGTACGACTTGCGCTATGGGGGTGGTGTCCTAGACATATTGTTAAAATAAAATGACCTTAATAAAAGTTGTAGATGATCAAATTATGAACAATTTTTACTTTGTTTGTATCTATAATACTTAACGAGTTACTGGGGCAGTATATGAAAAAAATTGCGCACACTGCAGTGGTGGTCTTGAAAACATGTTTTTACAAAGAGTTGGCAACATTGGAAGTGGGGCAAGCGGTGTTAGGCTGTCATCTGTTAGCTGACAGGCTACATCAGTTCACGTTTAGTTTTCACTCACTTT